CAAAAAAAGGCTGGGCCAAACATACTATTAGCCTCAACATGTGTGGGCTTAGAACCAATAAATGGACTCATTTTGTTCCCGATGAAATTAGACTTTTACTTAAATTCAATACTCCGTATGTACTTTTTGTTGTAAAAATTGCACGGGGCGCCCTATTTGATCGCCCTCATTTAACCTATAGCCACTTTAAAAAAACGTTTTAACTTGTACCCACTTTTTAAATAACTTCATGCCTCTTTCTCCTCCTCCTTCTCCTCCTTACGTTTTCTTCTTCTCCTTTTCCTCCTCCTCCTCCTCCTCCTCCTCCTCCTCCTCCTCCTTCTTCTTCTTCTTCTTCTTCTTCTTCTTCCAGTGACAATGAATTTATATGGTGGTTGTGAACATATTTTAATGTAGTTTATGCTGTTTTACAATGGTGAGCTGTTGTGACGCTTTATTTTTTACTATTGCTTAAGGTTTCTTCTTCTTCTTTTTCTTAATTGCAAAATGGGTTCATTAGATTTATTGTTGTTTTGAAAATTTGATGATCGTGGTTTGTTTCTTATGATATTTGGAGGTTATGTTTCAAATTTGAGCTCAATTGGAGTAGATTTAGATATTAAATCATATATTGGATTGTTATAATTCGAAGAACAAATTTCTGTTTCTCGGCAGTTTGCACTTCAATCCTATTTGGCCTTAAGTGCATAAAAATGATGGTTGCACTTCAGACCTTTTGGCCTTAAGTACATCTGAAGTGTTATTTTTCACTTCAGACTTATTGGCCGTAAGTGTAGCAAAGTGTTTGTTGCACTTTAGACCTTTTGGCCTTAAGTGCATCTGAAGTGTAATTTTTCACTTCAGATTTATTGGCATTAAGTACATCAGAAGTGTAATTTTTCACTTCAGACTTATTAGCCTTAAGTGCATGAAACCATTGGTTGCACTCCAGACCTATTTGGCCTTAAGCGCATTTGAAGTGCAATTTTTTCACTTTAGACTAATTTTTTTTTAACTTCAGACCCGATAAGTCTGGAGTTGATCGTAAAGTGGGTACGCTTGCAAACGTTTTTGCAAAGTGGGTATATGTTTAATTGTAACCCCAAAACCGAGTATAGATGCAAAAGCCCCCTTATTGTTTGCTTGTGCCAATGTTTCATAAATTGAAAAATTGAGCCCAATTTTATGGATTTGATCCATTGAAATTAAGATGTCTACGGCATTTGATTTTGATAAATTACATAAATAGCCAAATTATCCATGACTTCTTCCTAGTACCTAGTTGAGCTTTGTTCAATGAGATCTTTACAGAAATAGCCAGCATATCCACGGTTTACTTTTTCTAGTCCTTATATAAAGACTATATACGGTTATGCATATATTATATATAATTATTACATATATATTATACACCCGTCAGTATGAATTGTGAGCACCTAATTTTTTATTATGCTTGAATTTTCTTTCACTCATCTCACCAATACCTCACTTCCACTCCATCATTTTCGCTCCCATTTTCCCTATGCGTGTCCCCGCTCTACTTTCCCACTCATTCCCCCACTATTTGTTCCACACTCATGTCCCTCACTCCTTGTCCCTCACTCACAACCCTTATATCCCCATTTCCTTCATGGACATATACACATTATTCATTCACTTTCTCTCATCTCTCTTATAAAATAAACTCTCTATATAGTTGCTAAAGAAAACAACCGAAGGAGGCCATGAAAATAAATCAAGAAAACAACTCTTTTTTCCAGCAAAAATCAATTGCGAAAATAGCCAAAAAAGCAACAAAAATCAGTTGAAATCAGCCCAAAAAACAGTCCGAAAATCAGCTCCAAAACACCATCGTTTTTAGCCCCGAAATCTAGTCAAAGCAGTCCCAAAAAACGTTCAAAAATAACAGCTCAAATTGCTGCCATTTTCGCTGAAAGACACAGTTGAAAACAACCGCAAATCAGCTGAAAAACAGTCCCCGAGTAGCTCCCAAAACACCCTTAAAGCACCCCAAAACCACCCCGTTTCAGCTTCCAAAGCTACTGCCAAAATGCAACATCCTTTACCCATTAAAACACGCAAGTTTTGGTCGATGTTGAGGGTCCCCAGTTCGTTTGTTCTGGTGTTGTTTTGAGTTTCTAGTTGCTAAATCAAAGCTCAAATTCATGTAAGGGTTCATTATTTATCTTATTCTTATTTGATATATAATTTTTAAAGTTTATGATGCCTATTTGAATGGAATAACAATGTTAGTAAGTATCTCTATGTATGTGATTTCTTGCATTGTTATTTCTCATTCGTATTTCATTCTCTATGGCTAGGATGCTAGAGATTTGGTAGATCTTGAACTTGACCTTAGCAGTTAAGGGTTGTGGACCATTTCATTTAAGTATTGGATTGTGGCTATGATGTATTGCTGAGTTGGTTTAGGCTCAAATGGAAGTTTAAGCCCAATGAAGAAGTATTGTGAGTAGGAGATATGGACTGCGGTATATCCAAGGCCCATTGCATAAAAGGAATGAAAGAGTGGAAATAACAATTGTGAGGGAGAGTGAGGCGAGTCGCGAATCAATTCAAAACTTGTTCTGAAAAGAAAGAAAAAAGAGTACAAAAATAGACAAAATAATTGTCTCGAATTTGTAAGAGATAAAGACATAAATGCCGCTAGTATGCTTTAGGTGCACTATTAATTAAATCAATCACCTTAATCATGTACACGTTCGCGTTACGATTTCTAAAATTAAAATCAAGGTATGCGTTGACTACTTGATCATTGGGTGATAGGGATATTTAT